TACCACGGTTGGGAATTTTGCCAGTCGTGAATTTCGTCCCACCCCCTGTAATGCGCAAAGTTGGCAAAACAATTTCAGGTACTAGGAATTGGTATTTAAGTAACATTGAACATTGGAAGGAGAGTAGAAGAACCCACGTTAGTTAAGTAACGTGGGCTAAATAGGATGTTTGTATCTCTTTTCAATGTAATTCATGCATGATTGCAGTTTCTTTAACTCAAATGGTGATCTCTGGCAAACTTCTTTGTGTAAAATGGAGAGGGGGGGGGAATGTGATGTTGTCGTCGTTCAAAACTGTCCAGTCCAGCATTTAAGGGCATGGTAGTGTGTTTCTTGATCAATCATTCACTTTCCATGAAAAGATACGCCCCTGGTAATTTTTAGATCAAAGTTTTGTTTGGTGAGGACTGATAATATCTAAAATAATACAGTGAAACATAATCACCTCCAAATACTTCTTTGTCCCACGGCAAGGATCGCCAAACTGGCTGTTTGTTGCCTGCAAAAAGCAGCTTCGCTTTCCCTGGCACTTGCTCCTCACTTTATCAATCGACCCAGCAGCTCCACAGTTTGTGGTTTTAACTGGTCCCCAACAGATGTGCCGACCAGTTAAACGACCGTAATTCGCCGACATGATATCGATTTTCTTCGAGGCGGGGCACGAAATGTGCTGTGACCGTCCTTCGCAGATGCGAACGAGCTTATTCTCAGCGCAAAGAACAGTTTTTCCCACACATTCGTACTTCACCTGTGTATGGAAATAGGAACATCTTATTTTTACAAATTTTACCGAAACAGAACGAGTTTGATATTAGTAAGAGATCTGGATAAAGATCAATGTCCTTAAACGATTATTCGGAAACTGCTTGTGGTTGAGTCGCGATTGGCTGGCTGGTAACCAATCAATAATCACACTAATGAGGTCACTCGTATCAAAGTTACCATGAACTAAACAATTTCACAGTTGCAAAAAAAAATAACATTAATCTCTGGAAGCAAGTATTGAAGTGATCCATATCGATTGAATTTTACATGTGAAAAATATATTAGTTATTATTTGCAACATGAGAACTGGAGCGAATATTTATAATCTAAGTCTTAAGTTGTCCTTCCTTGAGGTGAACTCACCTTTAGATATTTGAAGGTTCCAACACAGGGGTCACCAAACGCTTCGTTCTTCGCGTACAGAGTACATCTCGTCTGTCCTTGACATTCGTATCTAGCGACGCTCATGGAGCTACCAGCATGGCAGTTTGTGCTT